CTGAAGCCACTTCCGTCAAAGCAACAGGGACTAAAATTCCTCCAGAGTAGGTCACAATCGCTCAGATCTGGATCCAACTCCCAAAGATCGAGTTTCGTTTCCACGAATTGGTCTAAATCCACGCGATATTGATCAATGATCAATCAATCTTCCCCGCTTCCCACAGACGGCGCCAATTGAAGATGCAAGAAATTCATTTTTTCTTTCTCTCTCTAGAACTCTTACACTTCAACAGAAAAATCCCCCTCCTTTATCCATTACTTCTCCTATTTATAGATACTTACAAACATTAATGGACTGCTAGATCTGGGCCCGTTCCTCTGTGAGTTTTGGTCATCTTTGATGGGCTATTCGCGTTTGGCCCATATGGCAGTATTTCTCTATGGGCTTGACCCATCTGCACGGACCGGATGTCGTGTTTGCGGGTCATATCCGGCCCATGTCACTTCTGGCCTCCTCATGTATATGGTTGTCTTTATGACAAACCTCAGCAGTGTCATTATACCAAAAAATTTTAAAAAAATTTATCACCGCCCTTGTGTGTGTGTGTGTGTGTGTGTATAGATTAAAGTTTTACATATGTGTGTATATATATATATATAAGATAAACTATCCCTTTCATTAATAAAGGAAATTTTGTATATAGGGATTGTGGTGTTGGGAGTTGATTATGACAATGGGTGGAGTTGGTTGGATTCAAAGTTTGGGAATGAGATCTTGGATTTGAGGGTATGGAATTTGAGAGAGAGAAAGAGAAATGTAAGAATGGGGATTTTAGGATTTGTAATTTGAACTTTTTTAAAAATTAATTAGCACAAAACTGAAAATTTATTAGGTTCCCAGATGGAAGAAATTTATTAGCTTGCAATGTATTAAACTAGTTTGAGGTAGACCGTGACGAGGGAGGGAGATGACAGACGGGACGGTGATGAGTGATGGAAGGGACTCAACTGTTGTTTTGATGAAAGTTTGTTGCAAATTTGGATCTCCTCCCACAAAACCCTCTTTCCTCATGAACCCTAATTCCAGGGAACAAAAATACTCAAATCAAACGATGCTAGACCGGGCCTCGTCAATATGCAACATTATTTGAAATTACATATATATATATATATATAGATCTGTGTATATATAAATTTTAAAATTATTTGAAATTTTTATGAAAATAAAAACATTAAAAAGGCATTGCAAAGTCAAATATTTTCCTTCTACATTGACTTCTAAGATTAACAAATGCTTTCATTCTATTAGATGAAAAAAAAAAAAAAATTATTATATTATTTTTCATTTTCCTTTCTTTTTTCTTGACAAACCTAACAACCATTTGAGATGGATGTAAAAAAAGCGGCTAAACAGTATTCCTAATATCATTTCTACCTACTCTTTCTTTTCTTTTTTCTTTTTCTCTCTAAGAAACATTGGTAAATGTCAATATCCATGATGTGACAAATAAGCATATTTATCACATCGTGAACATTACAGAACTTTCTATTTAATTTGACAATGTCTGTTATAAGGAAAAATTAGACTTAAGAAATTGAATTGTTGACCAATATTATGTTTAATTCTGCAACCTCTATTTATATAAAATAATAAAATTTTAAAAAGGGTTGAATTTGATGCCGTCTCAAAAAAAAAAAAAAAAAAAAAAAAAGGAAAAAAATCGGAAAAGGTAATTTAATTTTGTGAGTTATTTTTCTTCAATTCTACCAATTCTAATTTCAAGACTCCAATTCTATATAACCCAGAAAGTATTGTTTTAATACGTATGTGAAATGCTTCTTTTACTTTCAAATTAGTTGCTCCTAAATGGGCCAGCTTAGTTTTTTTGGGTACAGACCTTTTTGGGCTTTCTAACAGCTGTATAGGTTGATCTTGGACTTTGGCCATGGCCCTTTTTGTTGATGGGCCTAATACATCATTTCAATTTCAAATGTATTTCAACTTCCCCAAAAAGAAATGTTATCTATAAATTATTGTAGTTAAATCACATTTTTAATTAAGACCCATTCGTTCAAAACTCGTTTTTGAGTGTGTGTATGGGCTAGATAGCAAACTATTTTCTGAATGGTTATGGTATAGCTATTGATTTAATTGATTGTTTACATTATGTTATAAATACTTAATTCCTCACTCATGTTACATGGATTCGGGTACAGTATTGGATATGAGTATATATCTATGCATCAGGACATGTCAAATCTCTAAATAGAAGAACACATGGACACGATTAAATATTCTTTTTATTAATTATTTTATTTTATTTTCTAGAGTAAAATAAATGTTTTTATCGAATATAATGTTCAATATATGCATTGTAAAGTAATAATATAATGTAATTGAATGATTGAATATATTTTTTAAGTATATGTCTAATCAAAAGTGTCGGACACATATCTCATATCCATATCTGAGGGATATATGTCCGACACGAATATTTTACTACTTTTGAAGAGTCCATGTAACAAAGTTCCTCATATGAACTTGTACATTTCTGTCCATTTATATATATATATATATTAGCGTGGAGCAAGACCCTAAAGCCTTTTTGAGGGGCATGAATTGATTAAAAGTGGCCCAATTTAATATTTTGTCCACTTATATCCAAACATTATTTAATCACTACATTAGCAACAATACATCCTCCCAACATGTATGTTATGTGGTGAGGCTAGTAGTAAGTTCGCTTATCATACATATGAATTTTAAGAAAATAATTTTGTTTGCCGATTGAAAGATACCGTAAAATACACATTTTTAATACATTTTATTATTTATTAGGGTCAAACTTAGTGATATTTCTAAATATGTTGATCAAGAAAACTGGGGAGGATTATCCGTTAGAGCCAATAGACCACGGTTTTAGTGATATCGTCACCAATGATGAAGATATTTCTTGGTTAGATGGTAGGCTCTAAATTTAGAATATATATATATATTTTTATTTTAGATAACATAATTAAAATTTTTTTTTTTAAATGACAAAAAACTCACATACACCACTCACATATAACCCACTTTACTCATTTGAGAGGTAGATGAGATACTATTGTGACTATTGGCTAGGTAACATAGTTGATTATTTGAATTCGATTTTTTTTTAATTAATTTTGTGATGAATTGACCATGCTATAGACCTATGGTTATTAATTAATTATATTTAGATAGTTGATTTCTTCCATGATTATTGTGATAGTGTTAATTGAAATATATTTATTTTATTATTTGTTACATAATCTTTACATATTCTTTATTGTCCTCACATATATAAGAAAATAATAAGATGTGTAGGGCTAAATTTTGGTCTCAAATTTTTAGCGCATACAACGTATTATATACATACGAATCCATATTCGTATTTTTACATTTCTATTTTTTTTGCCGAAATTTTTAAACGTAGTTTTTTTAAAAAAATTGAATTATATTCATACGTCTCCGTATCCGTCTTTTTTCTATACCTTATTTTACTAAATATGGGTGGGGCTCATGCCAACATACACAACACATATTTGGCATCTTCGAAATTCAGAGGATGAATTTGGAGGTTGTATCATTTTTTTTATTAAATATAAATCTTATTAGTATTATTATTATTATTATTATTATTATAATTGAGGTAGTAAACAACACAAGCACTCATTTTACCGCCACTGGTGGCTATAACCACGGACCTTTCCTTTAAGGTTTGAAATGGAGGTTACACTCTCTGTCACATAATTTTTCTAAATGAATGTCATTTCACGCTTCGCATGCACCTCATTTATTGTGTTTCGTGCATTTTCTAACTCCTAATCCCACTATACATGTGACTTAAATTTTACAATTTTTGCGCTCCTGCTTTCACATTTGCATTCGCTCACGCTCTCGCATTTAAATGAAAGATTTACCATGAGGCCCCAAACCTTTTTTTTGCTCCTTTTAGATTTTGGCGAAGGACTTCAGGACTAAGCAGATATGAATTGAGTCCCAAGTTTTGGAGCTAATCACACAATGAATACTGAGTTTGACCTTTGAAAAGTCGTTGGGCTTCTTGTAATAGTGTGTTTACCCTTTGGGCTTCTTGGGCCTATATATTACAAATTTTCACCTTCTGAAAAAAAAAAAACCAAAAAAAAAAAAAAACAAGAAGAAAAAGAAAAAAGCCAAAAAAAAGAAAGAAAAAGAAAACAACAAAAACCTTTGAAATTTAAGGCTTATTTAATAGAGGCTATTTTGATTTTTCCTTTTTGTGTGGAACCATTTTAAAGATAATATCTCATATTATCTCCAGGAATTATTTTTTATTTTTTTTCTTTGGAAGGTTAAGTAAATTCACACGGTCATATTTTTAGAGAGGTTCGAACCGACCTCCCCTTTTAAGAAATGAGTTTGTACCAGCTAGATTATTGTCCATTTGATACCTCAAGGATTGGTTCACTTACCTTACAAAAATACTTATGAAATTAAGTTTGCAATTAATTAACAGCATTACCGTAAATGATACAGTGGTGTTTGTGGACACCTAGTTCAATAACATCAATAAAGAAACAATAATGAAAAAAAAAAAAAGGGATTAAGTTAATTTTCAATTTTATGTTAATAATTTTCGAATCATCTGTTTGGCTATGAGTACGTGGTATTTCATATATATACATTCGAAATTATGAAGAGGACATATTATGAAAGTCATCAATTGGCAACATTTACAAATGAAAATGAAAATGAAAACCTTAATTTACTAAATTGAACTCGTTCCGAACAAAACCAAAATCGCCAGACAATCCCCCAGATAAACGGACAATGGTATATCACACCACGCCCAATCCACTACCAAAGTATCATAGAATTCAATGAACCATGCTGTTGAGCTTCAGAACTGAAACGGATAATTCAAATTTGGTCAGAGATGAATGAATGTGAATTTGATTGGCATGTTGTATTTCACACAAAAGCATAGTCACTACCCAACAGTAAACATAGGAGAAACCAGCTCTGTTCTTCATTTTCCCATACCCTCCTATTTACTTTGAAAGATTCAACTTCTCCTGATATAACTTCAAAAGCTCAGGAGCTTCTTCCTCATATTTTTCCACAAACTTGTTTAGGAATTGACTTTCAGAAGACGACAACATCCCATACAAGCTAAATTTATTCTGAAGCAAACCTTTGGACAACAGAATCTGATAAACCAAACACCGTGGAATGATCCTCCTCTCCAAGCTCAGAAGAATAAGCCCTGGATACCTCACAACAATCGAAGACTCCCAACCCATTTTATTGACAAAAAAATCCATTATCCCCATAATCTTCTCCACTGATACAATCATAAACCATGGTTGCTTCCCAAAAGCCACCAAAATCTGATCCTCAGACAAACCCCACTTCTTATAAACCTCCACCTTCTTTTCCCAAGTTGATTTAGTCATTGCCCTCAGTGCATGAATTGCTAAACCAAACATCACTTTTGTAGGGTTAAAACCCATTTTCTTTACTTCTTCCAAAATCTCCTTAAACCTATCAGCATTAGGCGTGAAAGCGTGAGGTTGATTTGTTAAGAAATTCACAATAATCGATTCGGGCATACCTATTTCTCTCAGAGCTTCAATATTGGGTGCTACAGATGTGTGAAGATCCAACAACAAAAGCACAGCACAGCGTTTAATAGTAGCATTCGTTTTTTCTTCGGACTTGAGGAATTCCTTGAAGAAATTGTAGGATGGGATGATTTGGTTTTCCAAACTTCTTCTCAAAACAGCTGGTGTTGTAGACAGTATTTTGGCAGTGTCTTGGGTTGAAACACCTTTAGATTGGAAAAATTCGATTTTGGGCAAAAAGGTATTCTCGGGATTGGACATGAGTACCTGAGGTAATCTTCTGATGAGAAGTGTGATCTGGATTTCAGTGAATCCATGGTTGCTGAAGAATGCGAGAACGGAGTCTGGTTTGTCTGGGGTTTTGATGGTGATGTAGTTGGAGGCCGAGAGAGCCTTTTCTGGAGGAAGCCCACATGATTTAACCAGGTAATCGACCGTGAATGAGTGTTGATTTGAAGTGGTAGATGTGGATTTGAGTGTCGAGGATGATGAAGATAGTGAGTAGTTTTGAAGGAAATGCAGTTTCTGAGATGGTGAGGTTGATACAACAAAACACCTAAAATAAGGCAAAGATTTGAATATGAAATTAAACATCGACAGTGAGTGATGGAAGGGACTCACCTGTTGTTCTGATGAAAGATTGTCGCAAATTTGGATCTCCTCTCCCAAAACCCTCTTTCCAACTACTGAACCCTAAAGTACTTAAGCGATTTATTATCACTGCCCTTAAACGACATCGTTTCCAGTGAACAAAAACCTCAAATCAAACAATGCTTACATAGACCGGGCCGCCTCAATATGAAACATTCTCTCTCTTGCGCCCCATGAGAAGGACTTGTTTTTCTCATATTAGCATTTTGATGTTTTTATTATATATATATTAGCATTTTGATGTTTTTATTATATATATATATATATATATATATATATATTGACTATAATTAACTAATTTTTAATTTTTACTCCTTCCATTCTGAAATAAATATAGTAATGTCAAAGATGACACTTAATTCGAAATAGCCGTCATATTATTTATATCCAATGTTGCAAATAACACGAGATCTCCATAAATCTATTGATTCATCTAACTAATCCAATTTTTTAAAAATAAATAAAAATAAAATTGGGCATGCTTTCAAACAAGTAGGCCCCTGTTAAATAGAATTAGCAGTATTTTAAATATATTTATAGAACACTTATGTGTATTAAGGTAGTTATAAAAAAAAAAATATAGCAATCATGTTGAACCGTCATTATGTTAATATTATATATATATATATATATATATATATATATATATATATAAGGAAAAAATAAATTAACATTCGTGGGTAAGGAGCAATTGATCAATAATTTAAGAAAAATGATAGGTCTTTCGACCTCCAAATACAACGTGATTAGGAATGAATCGAAGAGAAAGAGATTTTTACGAGAATTTTTTTTTTAAGATTTCTAACGTGATCCAATAACGTTATATTCGGAGGGGGAATCGGCAATTGAGGGCGAAAGATTTATCATTTTTCATAATTAATATATATATATATATATATATATATATATATATAATTCACTAATTTTTAATTTTTACTCCCTCCATTCTAAAATAAATGTCGTAATACCAAAGATAACACTTAATTCCAGATAACGATAGTATTATTTATATCCAATGTTGCAAATAACACGAGATCAGTTTCCATAAATCTGTTGATTCATCTAACTAATCCAATTTTTTTAAAATAAATAAAAATAAAATTGGGCGTGCTTTCAACCAAGTAGGCCCCAGTTAAATATAATTTGCAATATTTTAAATATATTTATAGAACACCAGTTAGCTTATGTGTGTTAAGGTAGTTATAAAAAAAAATATACATATATATATAGCAATCATGTTGAACTGTCATTATGTTTAATGTATTCACATTTCTTGCACGATCGTAAACAAAATATTTTTTCTATATATATATATATATAAATCTTCTACATATAAGAAAAAAATAAATATTGAGAGGGGAGTCTACAATTGAGGTTGAAGGATCTATCATTTTTCATAATTTAAAGGATGTCAAAATGCCTCACAAAGCAAAATAAGACTAATTTACCATTTTTTTGTCATTTTTCATATTCGCATAATTAAACACCCTTTTTCAGAACAGAACCAAAAAATTCAAAAATGCAAAATATCGAAAATGCTCCCGACATGCATGTATATATACAAATTTGGGATAAGTGCATCAGACCCCCTTGAGCTCTCTTCTCTTTCTCAAGAAACCCTCCTGAGCTTCGAGAAAGACACTTAACCCCCTAAAGTATTTAGTTTGTTACAAAAACTCAAATTCCGTTAGTTAGTCATCCCATATTTAACGCCAAGTTGGAACACGTGACCTATATGCATTGGGAAAAATTTGTAATCTCAAATATACCCCTTCCCTAACTGTGTTTGTCGTATAGTTTCGCTGGGAGATCGGATATGTGCCGGCAATCGGAGATTGGAAGACGGGACAAAGGGGAGAAAACAACAGAGCAATCCTTGGATCGAGGACCTTGCTCGCTGAGCTTTTAGATTAAAAATTCCAGGTCCAGCTACAAAGCTAAGGAAGGACGGAAACGGCGGTCTCGACTGCGCTCTTGACGGAGACTTTGGGCTGCCCTCTCCGTTAAACGTGCTAAGGTTTGGAACGTCAAGAGAGAGATTTTCCAAGCAAGATTGTTGATCGGTGGAGGCAAAGACCCATTTTGGTTGGTGCTTCTATTTCTACTGAATTTGTTGTGTGCACTGTGTAGTCTTCACTTTGTGTTTTGCGGTCGCCTGAGAGTTGCAGCGGCAGCCTTTATGAAAGAGTACGATCGAGGAGAGGTAAGATGTGAAAACAGATGAGGGTTACGTTAGAGCAAAAACCCACGTGGAACATGGTGAGAGAGATTGGGTACGACTAGTTGTAGAGCTTGCGATCGAGGATGTACTTGTTGTAGATTATGCCGGCGAAGCTGAGGAAGATCCCGATGTGCCTGCTGGTTCCTGCTGTACGGATGGGGTCTATTTCTTTTGAGAATCCGCCTTTTCTTCCTTTTCTGAAATTGGCCGAAAACTTGCTCAAGAACCGCAGCTCCAGTCTCTCGTCGCAAGACTGAGCTAGGCCCGGCTTCCTGCCCGCTTCTTCTTACGGTATTTCTGGGCTGGTGTTTATGGCAGTTTTTAGAGTCTTTCTGGTGTTTGTGTTCTTGTGGGGGGAAAGAGAAACAATGGTGGGTGTGTATGTTAAGCAGGGACGGGGTGTAAGATTAGAGTTACATGCGTATATCCAGTTACCTTTTTTAGACTACGTGTCGTTTTTTTATTAGTTCTCGAGATTTTTTAACCACATCTGTAGCTCAGCAATGTGAAACAACTTAAACAATGCCGTTCAAGTAAGGGCCAAATTGTAATTTGCTTTTTCCGTTAATAGTTGCTAACGGATAATCACTTCTTGCAACAAATTCATACTTCAGGGGATTTTCCTTACTTCAGGGGGGTTTATTGCAATCAGGTCATACTTCAGGAGGTTTAACGCACTTTACCCTACAAATTTTTTCTCTCCTGATCTCACCCATTCTCTCTTAAACAATGCTTGCCTCAGGCTGACTAAGCAGAAATTGCCTGATGATGCTGACAATCAGCAGATGTGGAGCACTAGTAATTTGATACCTGTAAAATATATTTAAGAAAATTAAACATGAATCAGCAAGAAGACCAGAAGGAAAATAAAATAAAATAAAATAAAATTCTCTTTCTAACTATAAACGATCTCAAATGGCATTCCACCACCACCGCAACCCAACCAGTAGATGATAACGACAAGGAAGACAAATAAGGACGGCAAAGAGTTGTTCGGAGAAAATGAAGGATTTATCAGCGACGATAAACCGGCGATGAAGAAGGACAGAGGCTGAGCTCTGTTTGTATGGACTGAACAAAACAGCGCCCGTAGAGGAGCGCGATTCCAGCGAGCACGGATGATTGCACCGACGGGATTAAGCCAACGAGAAACCAGTGATGCCAGGATCGGCTGTAACTTTTTGAAAATTTTTTTTTTCAACAAAAAGCTCTGTATATGTATTATTGTGTAAAATATCCAAACTTTTAAATGACGCTTTTACCCTTATTCACTGTTTACACCTATATATTTATATGCATATGTATATATCTATCTGTATATGTATTATTGTGTAAACCCCAAACCACTGTTATATACCTAGACCAGCCCCCAAAGCTCCGGCCGACCTTGACATCCACCTCCACACCTACCAACCACCACCACTGCCTGACTTCAATCACCCATTATCACATCCACCTTCCTATTGCGCCTAAAACGAGCCACCACCACCTCCTACTTCCTATTACATCCAAAACGAACCCACCCACGCTATCACAGCTCCCATTTATCTTTTGTGAAAGATTAAAGTTCATGACTATACCTTGCATGAAATTGAATTGTATTATACTTCTAAATTAAGTTTTGGCATGTTGTTTAACATACTTTAATTTGAGAGCATTTAGTTGAGATTGAAAATTTAAAGACTAAAATTAAGAGAATTAATTAAAATCTATTTAATGGTTTCATGGGCCTAATTAAGCTTTTGAATGAATATATGTAATGACCATGATATGTCTTTAAACATATATTAAATTGAGGCCATTTTGGGATGATTTAAAATCTTGAGAGTTTGATTATTTTGATGTAATTAAATTCTATCTTGTTTATCCATGGATTTAATCATGTTTTAGGAGTTGCTTCTATTTTAAGATCATGGATTTAGACTTGTGGTGTATTCACTTAATCATGTTTTAAGCATTGGAAAGCGTTGTTGTTAAATTTATATTTATGAAAATATGTTTCTAATATGAAAATATTATTGACTTGTGATTTCATTGCATTATGAATATGAAATACTTATTATGCACAATTGAGAGTTATATTGCTAACTTGTTACTATGTAGTAGTAATATGCATAAGTTTTGAACTTATTGTTTTTGGAGGCTTATAAGGATCATATTCATATGATGGCTAGGGTCTGGCCTTAGTACGGATTCGTGAGTTTCCTAAGTCATAGAAGTGCGCAGTAGGTTGTACCTTGTGGGTCGTAATTACCCGGAATAACTTATACACGTGTGCACTAGGTAGTACCTTGCGGGCTAGTAACCCAGAATAACTTGATTGGTCTGCAGCCAATGATCTAGTCTTTCCACTATTTGATTTCGCATTAAATTTCAAGTTGTTAATCATGGATTACTGGTAACTTGAGAATTGATGCTTACTTTGGGTATTTGAATCCTATTTAGTATACTTGAAACTGTATACTTGTTTTATGTATTTAGATCTCAATTAGTATACTTAAGCATTGCATGTTTGATTTGTGCAATCAGACTTCATTATGTATACTTGTGTCTTGTATGCTTGTCTTATGCGTGATTCATTTGGCTTAGTATACTTGTGCATGTATGCTTGATTAAGGAGTTTTCTATGTTAATTGTATGTTTGAATATGCATGCTTAGACAATGCATAACTTGTTTAACATGA